TGAAATTCCTAAGTTGGTGTGTGTTCCTTACACACACATGAAGCTCATCTTATACAGTTTGGTATGCCTGCATTTTGCCTAGAACCTGTCATCTATGGTCAAGTGGAATTTTCCATTTCTGGCATGGTGTGAACACTCAAAAATTGGAGGTTTAGAAGCATGTTGGGTTTTTTGGATTAGACTTCAGGGAATATTCCATATCATTGGTCTGAGTAAGAATTTTTAAAGAAAAGATCTCCAAAGCAAAAACAGAATAATGAGGTTAAATGGAATTGAAACATTTCTGCATGTCAATAGAAACAGAATAAAAAATGTAGAGAATGGAAGAAAACATTTACAAACTCGCTGATGAGAGATTAACATCCGTAATGTGTAAACTCTATATCAAGAGAATATACAATTAAAAGTGGACAAAAACCTGAATAGACATTTCAAGAGACATGCAAATTACTTAACAGGCCTACAAAAATGTTGCTCATTAGGATAATGTAACTCAAAAGCCACAATTAAGTGTCACTTTACCGCATTTAGAAGAGTGTTTTTAAGTTTACAGCTTTTTAAAATGTGCATAGAGAGGAATCATTATATACAACCCTTATAGAACACTCTATGGAGGTTTCCTTAAAATTTAAAGATACAACTACCATGGGATCTACTACTGGGTACATGGGATTGGGTACTGGGTATATAGCCAGAGAACAAATCCTGTCTGTACTCCTGTGTTTACTGCAGGATTACTCACAATAATGTGAATAATTCACAAGCTATGGAGTTGCCTTAGACGTCAGTTGACAAGTGGATAAAGAAATGTAATTTGTATACACAATGGAATAACATTTAGCCATAGTGAAATCCTGTCATTTATTGGAACTTGCATGAACCTGGAAGAATTAAGTGCTGAGGCACAGAATGATAATCGATGGTCTTCATGTTGAAGAAGCTCCCCTTGGAAGATTAGTAGTCACAAGCTGGTAAGCATAGAAAGAGAGGATAGGGAAAGATGTGCCAAAACGTACCAAGTTCAATAGAACGGATAAATTCTAGTATTTGTTGCCCACGAGAGAGACGATTATATTGAGTATTTCAAAAATCTAGGAGGAGATTTCTAGTATTTGAGATGATATCATGCATATATGATACTATGCATATATGTAACGAACCATACCCCATGAGTATTCAGTTATGTCAATGAAAAGTTTTGAATAATGTTTTACAATTTAAGATCAGAGTAGTAACTCCAGGAAACATTTTAACAGAAATAACATCCAACTAGCTTTCAACATTTTACATCAGTATGCCCTTAAGCTCATTTCAAGGTGTGCTTTAAATCCATTCTATTTTAAGCCTCCCCACTGGGAGGCCTCCATCATAGTATCTGACTCCAGGGATGGCCCCATGAATCTTACTTTCCCCCCCAAGTAAGGAGTTATCTCCAAATCTGCCCACCTAATCCTGTATAACCATCACAAGTACAAGGAGAAAGAATAGGAATCTAAGGGATTCTAAATTATTTATAGGGTGGTAAGGGGCACCCACCTATAATATGGGACCAGAGACCCTCAACAAACTTCATATTGGATTTTCAGCTTCCAGAGAAGCCTAGGCCCCATTATTAGCCAAGAACCTTCAAAATGCCTGCACATTCCTATAAAAATAGGAATAGACCCATCAATTGGAAACTTGACAGCCTGGTAGAACCAAAGAATGTGACAAGTCTTACCTGCAACATGAGAACATAACAAAATAAGAGCCATCAAACTTGGAGAAGGACCAGAACAGACTGGGAGACCCCCCAGTTACAACCAGATGCTGCTCACACTTAATCCCAGGGCATTTCAATTCCTTCACTACCTGACAATTAGGCAGACATATTTCAGTATTTCTCTTGTCCCTTTGTCAATTACTCCTTGCAAAAACTGGTACCACGGTGTCAGGCAGCAAAGCCTTTATCAAAATCTCAGGAATCAAACCTAAGATTAGCACTCACAAAACCCGGATGTACTTGCCCAGTTTGTAGGTTTGGGAACACAGCTGTTACCAAAAGCTCATTTGCAGAGATCCAAGGGGCATCAGCTGAAAGGCAGAGGAGATTTGACTGAACAGGTATTGGGCCCTAAGTATAGCAAGGAGCGTAAAAGCTACATGACTCCACTTCTATTATGGTATCTGCCACCACAATTGTTAAGAGCAATAGCTGGCCAAGGTGGAAGATACCAGTAACAGGCTACACAGCAGGAAACACTCTTGCAGATAAGCTTCACAGGGAACCTACTCCAGGCCCATATCAGTGAGACTTACAATGATCTATTATAGCCCCTGTGTATAACAATACTTAAGAAAAAGAGGTAGGGCTGGGAAGGTGGCTCAGTGGTAGAGTGCTTGCCTTGCATGCTTGAGGCCCTGGGTTCGATTCCTCAGCACCACATAAGCAAAAATAAAAAAGCCAGAAATGGCCCTGTGGCTCAAGTGTTAGAGCGCTAGTCTTGAGCTGAAGAGCAAAAGGACAGTGCCCAAGCCCAGACTTAAAGAGCAACTTCTCTGAAGAGGAAAGAAGGATGGCCAATAGACACATGCAGAAATGCTCAACCTCTCTAGCCATGAAAGAAATGCAAATCAAAACAAGCTTCAGATACCACCTCACCCCAGTTAGAATGGCTATCTATAATCAAGAATTCTAATAACAACAGATGCTGGAGGGGATGTGGACAGAAGGGAACCTTACTTCATTGTGGGTGGGAGTGTAAACTTGTTCAACCACTTTGGAAAGCAGTAAGGAGGTTCCTCAAAAGACTCCACATAGAGCTCCCCTAGGACTCAGCAATCCCACTTTGGGGCATTTATGCAAGAGTTTCCCCAACAAGACCACACTAAAGCTCCCAGCACAACTATGTTTATTGCAGCATTATTTACCATAGCGAAGATCTGGAACCAACCCAGATGCCCCTCAGTAGATGAATGGATCAAGAAAATGTGGTATATATACACAATGGAATTCTACGCCTCCATCAGAAAGAAGGACATTGCCCCATTAGTTAGGAAATGGAAAGACTTGGAAAAAATTATATTAAGTGAAGTAAGCCAGGCCCAAAGAAACATAGGTCCCATGGTTTCCCTTATTTGCAATAACTAGTATATGTCTGAGACAAGTAGAAATGGTCACATAAATTGATGTTTGGTGAAATGAACGCCAAGATGAGTATTCAAATGTTTTTTTTTCTTTCTTGATATTGTTTCTTACATAGTTATAAGATGGTTTCTTTGTTGCTTTGTGTGTCCCTCCCCCACGGTATAACCCCTGCTTTCACTGTATTTGATGTTGGTATATTTTGTGGAGGGGAAGGGAAGAAACACATCGTTTAAATAGGGATACAGGTGGACCCATTGCAACAATGAGATATACAAGTTGTTATGTCGAAAAATGAACTTTACAACTTTGGCTGCGGTGGGGAGGTGGGAGTTGGGAAGGGATGGGAAGGGGAAACAAAGGAGGAGGCAACAATGCTTGCTAAGAAATGTACTCGTGGAGCTGGGAAGGTGGCTCAGTGGTAGAGCGCTTGCCTTGCATGCCTGAGGCCCTGGGTTTGATTCCTCAGCACCACAAAAGAAAAAAGTGGAAGTGGTATTCTGGCTCACCTGAGTGTTAGCCTTGAGCTGAAGGGCTGAGGGACAGAGCCCAGGCCCAGAGTTCAGACACCATGCCCGGAACCCCCCCCCCAAAAAAAGAAAGAAATGTACTCATTACTTTGCTCACATGATTGTAACCCATTTGCATGGTATTTTCACAATAAAAAAAAAACAGGAAAAGTTATTTTTAACATTTCCACGTTTTCCTTTTTTCTATTTTCATTTGTAAACTTGCAGAATAAAATTTCTTCATTGTAGAAGGAACAAAATACAATACAATATAATAAACTTTTTCCTGTCTGAACCATGTGGCGCCGGTCTCCTTTTGGCAAACCTTACACAAGGGAGCCCAACAACCTGGCCCAAAGGCTTTGGCTTCTCTCTTTATGCTGAGTACATTTTAAGTGGGAGGTCAGCAGAGTAATGATTATCAATTTTCCCACCTGAAAGTAAGATTAGTTTGTCAGATCTAATGAGATCCTGCTCCCACCCCTCCTTAGCCCATATATTGTTCAAACGCCTTTTAGCACCATGTGAACCACTATGGATATCAAGCTACCCATGTTAAATTGAAACAGAGCTCTCCTTCTAAACTAAACGTTCACCTTTCTTATTCAGACTATTTCCTAAGTCTTCTTTCCCTAGAAGAATATCCACGTTCACAATCAAGGAACCATCTCTGCTGCCTTGTCCTGATCAGGATGACCTGTCTGCATTCTATTTCAAAGAATGATACCCCTGTGTCAGCAGGAAGTAGCCAGAGAGAATAGGCACTCCTTCAAAAGTGCCAAAATGCCCTGGGAAACAACACTGCCCCCAACAGCCCTCCTGCTCTACTCCTCCTTTCCAGGAGAGGGCAGCATGGTAGCCTTTCTAGAATTCTCCTGCTGGAAAGCAGTCATCTCAGTCAATCTCCTGAATGAGAGTCAGCAAAGGGCTCCAGGCTCTGAGGTCACCACCTCACCCTCTGAGGTCACGCCCTCACCCACCCAGCCCTGTCTCCCTAAGCTCAGCCACTCCCTTATCCACCCTGTCACACCCTGATAAACCAGTTATCTGCCTGATCTGCCCAGCCCTGTCTGCTTCCACCAGTGAGAGGCTCCCTAAGCTCTGAGGTCATTTCTGCATCCGCTGTGGCCACGCCTCCTCCCCGCCTGGCACTATATAAGCCCTCTGGCTGGTGCTAAGCTTTGTCTCTGGGCCAGCCTCCCTCTGGTGCAGGTCAGCACGCAGGTTGGTCTTGCTCCCTCCTGTAACTCAGCTCTTCTCTCGGACTTGCTTCGTTGCTGGGAAGCTTGGTAGTGTCAAGAGTTCTCTGTCAGGCAGCTTTCTGCGATCCCAGTGTGTGTGGACATCTCCCAGGATCTCCTGCAGACATGGCGGTCTCCACTGCAGTCGGGAAACTGCGGATCCCTCAGGTGGCCAAGGTCAAAAACAAAGCTCCAGCTCTCGTCCAGATCACCGCTGAACAACTGCTGAGGGAGGCCAAAGAACGAGAGCTTGAGCTTCTTCCACCTCCACCTCGACAGAGGATCGCAGATGAAGAAGAATTCAATGACTACAAGCTGAGGAAAAGGAAGGCCTTTGAAGATAACTTAAGGAAGAACCGGACTGTGACTGGGAACTGGATAAAATACGCACAATGGGAAGAAAGGCTCCAGGAAATTCAGAGGGCTCGATCCATCTACGAGCGTGCTTTAGACGTGGACTATAGAAATATCACCCTCTGGCTGAAATATGCAGAAATGGAAATGAGGAATCGCCAGGCCAACCATGCCCGAAATGTGTGGGACCGTGCCATAACAGCACTGCCACGAGTCAGCCAGTTCTGGTACAAGTACACATACATGGAAGAGCTGTTGGGGAACATGGCCGGTGCCCGGCAGGTGTTTGAGCGCTGGATGGAATGGCAGCCCGAGGAGCAAGCCTGGCACTCCTACATTAACTTTGAGCTGAGATACAAAGAGATGGAGCGGGCACGGACCATTTACGAACGCTTTGTTCTTGTGCACCCGCGGGTGAAGAACTGGATCAAATATGCCCACTCTGAAGAAAAACATGGTTATTTGGCCCACGCACGGAAAGTGTATGAGAGAGCTGTTGAGTTCTTCGGAGAGGAACATATGGATGAACACCTCTATGTTGCCTTTGCCAAATTTGAGGAAAATCAGAAAGAATTTGAGAGGGCCCAGGCCATCTACAAGTATGCCTTGGACAGAATCCCAACACATGAGGCTCAAGAGCTCTTCAAAAACTATACCATCTTTGAGAAGAAGTTTGGGGACAGGCAGGGTATTGAAGCTATCATTGTGAGCAAACGCAGATTCCAGTATGAAGAGGAAGTGAGGGCCAGTCCCCACAATTATGATGCATGGTTTGATTACTTGCGCTTACTGGAAAGCACTGCAGAAGCTGAAACTGTGCGAGAGGTTTATGAGAGAGCCATTGGCAATGTCCCACCCATTCAGGAGAAGAGACACTGGAAGCGTTACATCTACCTCTGGATCAACTATGCACTCTATGAAGAATTGCAGGCAAAGGATCCTGAGAGGACAAGGCAGGTGTATCAAGCCTCTTTGGAATTAATTCCTCATCAAGAGTTCACATTTGCCAAGATGTGGCTCTATTATGCACAATTTGAAATAAGACAGAGAAATTTATCATCTGCCAGAAGAGCATTGGGGACTTCCATAGGCAAGTGTCCAAAGAGCAAGTTATTTAAAGGCTACATAGAACTGGAAGTGAAGCTTCGAGAATTTGACAGATGCAGGAAGCTTTATGCAAAGCTGTTGGAATTTGCACCTGAAAATTGTACCTCCTGGATTAAGTTTGCAGAACTAGAGACAATCCTTGGTGATCTGGAGAGAGCCAGGGCAATCTATGAGTTAGCCATCAGCCAGCCTCGCTTAGACATGCCAGAGGTGCTTTGGAAAGCCTACATCGACTTTGAGATGGAACAGGGAGAAATTGAGAGAACACGAAAACTTTACCGACAGTTGCTCCAACGAACACAGCATGCCAAGGTATGGATCAGTTTGGCTCACTTTGAGTTGTCTGCAGGAAAAGAAGGAAGTGTGTCTAAATGCAGACAGATTTATGAAGAGGCTAACAAAACCATGCGGAACTGTGAAGAAAAGGAAGCGAGGCTTATGCTGCTGCAATCTTGGAGAAGCTTTGAGGATGAATTTGGAACAGTTTCAGATAAGGAGAGAGTAGACACACTCATGCCAGAGAAAGTGAAGAAGAGAAGAAAGGTTGGGACTGATGACGGGTCTGATTTAGGCTGGGAAGAATACTGTGACTACATCTTTCCAGAAGATGAAGCTACCAGCCAACCTAACCTCAAACTTCTGGCTATGGCTAAACTTTGGAAAAAACAACAGCATCCTGACTCAGGATGCTTTCTCTAAATGTTGCCACATTTTGGTGTTTTGTATTTTTATTTGTAATGTTGTAAAATTTTGTAATATTGAAAATTTTGTAAAATTTTTCCTTGTTGGTAGGAATAAAATAAAATAAACTGTTACCTATCTGAAGCATGTTGTGGTCTCCATTTATTGAAACTTACATTACAGAACCCAACAACCTGGCCCAGCGGTTCAGCTTGTCTAAACTTACTGAGGATACTTTAAAAAGGAGGTCAGGAGACTAGCGATTATTAACCTTCCCTCGGAAGAGCAGAACAACATTGTCCTATATATGTATAAATGGTAGTTCTTTGTTTTCATATGGAAGATATTGAAGTACAGTTGTTTATTTGATAGTATTACTTAGTACATGTATAGTTTTTATCAATTCACTGGGAATGGACATTTGGCTCAGACACTTGAAGCTGTTAGGTAGACTTTGGATGGTCATCCACTTTTAGTATACTTGTTTTGATTCCAAGAAAGAGATTGCCAAGTCCTATGGTAGGTATGTATTTATTTAGAAGGTACTATAAAAATGTCACAGTGCAGATCAGAAGGAACAATTCTGCCCAACTAGAGGTAAGGTATGTGAAGTACTGTTGGCAATGTTGACCATGTTAATTCCATCACAGGTCTTCATTGTAAGCACCTCTCAGGCTTGTTTCTTAAAATGTCACATCTGACCTTTCCCTGTGCCTGGTTGACTTGATTAAGGAAGTCTGACCAACAAAGCTTCTGCTCACCACTGGCAAGCCATGTGGATGTCCAGACCTAGTAACCCTTCGGCCCTGCAGGCACCTCACTTCCACTCTACTGCAGATCCCAAGGGAGATCAGTCAACTCATGGAAAGCCGAGGAAGAACGATGTTGGTTTAAGCTGTGATGGTGTTTGCTTGTAATCCCAGCACTTGTGAGACTGAGGTAGGAGGATTGGGAGTTTGAAGCAGCCTGGACAACATGGATAGAGCATGTTTAAAAGAATATATTTTTGGTTATTTTTGTCGCAAAATTATGGATATTGGATAGACAACAGGAACAAAGGTTATCACCCCAAAGTAGGATGTAACCATAAAACCAAGTAAGCTGTCTATTCATTTCCTGTTGATTTGGTGAGGTGTGTTAGTTTCTGAATGTATGGCAGGAGAAGGCAGAAGAAAGGATTTAAAACCTTGTGCTTTTATCTGTGTCAGTATTATTTTTTTAGCTTGTGACATATTGTGAATTTCATCTTCTCTCCCTGCAAATCCACTGTCCATATGCTTGGACTGGTTGAAGAGCTGTTGGTCATAATGAACTTCATTTGCGGTGCAAGGATTGGGGACACTCCAATGACTTCAGTGATTTCAGTGATTATCTGCTGTTCCTTTTTCTGCAGTTCCGATCCCTTCCCAGCAGCTGCCCTGGAAAGATAATGGTCATGTAGTCTCTCTTTTTGCCTCTCCTTCTGGATCTCATCCCTCCTACATGTGTGCCTCCCTATCATTTGTCCACATGGGTTTTGATCCCAGCTCTCCTCTCCCTGGTTTTTGGGCCATCACTCTGTTTCCCTTTCATTCTGAATCCTTTTTCTCTCCACTTGGGCCCATCTTTCCACAATGTCCAGAGCCTTACAGTCAGCAATATAGAGAATTTCAGCCAGTTTGGCAAAGTTCTCATTGATGTGTACCATCTGAAGTCCTCTTCCACTAGCAGCCAGTTCCTTGTCTAATGGAATTGTATAACCCTTTGCATTTTTCCATTTGGAAATTCAAGGAGGAATCTTACACTCTTGTTGCTTCTTGGCAGTCATTTTTTGACTTAGAGAGTGCATGACAGGAGCAGGAGGAGAAGGTGGTCCCTGGGGAATCTTCTTGTTGATCCGGAACCTTGGTAGTAATGCAGAAAGATCCAATGGAACCTCCATCTGTATTACCCTCTGTGAAGCTCCAGAATTAAATGCCACTCCTTGCTGAGATGGTGTGTATCTCATATATTGAGTAGGAGCCAATTTATGAGCTGCTCGAACTGGCATGGCTGTGGCAACCTTTTGCTGGACATACGTGTCTAAGGCTACCCATGTCTTTGCTATGAGCTCTTGAGAACTTCTTCGCCCGGTCTCTCTGGGTCTCTGTGGCTCCAGGTCAGTATATTTGCTGTAAATGACCTTGTCTTTTGAATGTCTTCGTTGAGCAATTGCATCGTACTGAATTCCTCCTTCAGGATCGACCTGAATGGCCAGTGCATTTGACCTGGTTTTTTTTTTTTTGTCATCTCTATCCAGTGGATAATGGGCCACATGGATCTCTGGAAAAGCATCATCAAAGTCCTCTAGCAAGCGAGATATACAGCCTTTTTGGTATCTGTATGAGGGAAGTTTCTCTACGGGAAGAGGCCAGGGAAATCTGCCATGGACTGTGTGATTCTGCCTTCTCTTCTGCTTCAGGTTGGTCCTGAGATAGCTGAGTAGGTACAGGTAAAAAGCTGGTGAGTGCCATCTTCTTCAGCAAGAGTTGATTTAGTCTAGAGCAGGAGCAAACTGATGTCCTGCCTGAGTTGGATGCATGCACAGTGAGAGCATAGGGCAGGAGAGAGTAATTATATAGGAAGGGCAAGGAGGAGATATGTCCTCAGCAGATGTAGAAATGTCGTCAGAGCTGATGGATCTTCTCACTGGAAGGAAGATGCCTGACTGGGGCAGATAAGCACAAGACCTCAGAGGATGAGGAAGTGACCTCAGAGCCTGGGGCCCTTGCAGACTCAATCAGGGGACTGACACTTCGATGTGATTGATTACTTGTTTCCCACAGGTGATTTCTGGAATGGCTACTGAGCTTTCCTTTCTAGCAGAGAAGAGGAGGAGAGTGGGCCAATGTCATGGGCATACCTAACATTCTAGCCTTTTGACAATTGAGAAGAGCCACTGATTCTCTCTGGCTACTTCCTGCTGACACGGTGTGGGGGGGGGTCATTTTTAGGGGTAGAAGGCTGAGATGACATCCGACTGGTATAAATCAGCAGTAAAAGTTCTTTGGTTGTGAATGTATATACTTGTCTATGGAAAGAAGTCTTAGAAGGCAGGGGCTGAACAAGAAGTTGAAAGTATAGCATAGAATGAAAAGTTCTGTTCCACTTTAAAATGGGTGACTTGATGCCCTTAGTGGTTCCCATGGTACCAACAGGGTTTTGACCAAAGATTTGGTCTGGGGAGGGTTAAGGGGGAGGGCTGAGGATCTGACTGGACCACTTTTCACCTCCAGGTCTGAGGAGCTAAAGACCAGTCATTTCCACATCATAGTGAGAGGGGCAAAGGTGGTGCAGTGATGTAACAGGATAAGGGACAGAGGACAGCAGCACTAACTCCTGGTGGCCCATCTGTAGGTCAAAAGTGAGAGAGCATTCAGGTGGACCTGTTGCAACAATGAGAAGTACAAATTGTCATGTCAAAAACGAGCTTTACAATGTCGGTGGGGGGGAGGGAGGTAAGGATTGTGTGGGGGGAGAGGGGGAAGGCTGGGAAGGGAGGGGAAGGGTAAACTAAGGAGGAGGCTGCAATGCTTGGTAAGAAATGTATGCATTATCCTGCCCATGTAATTATAACCCCTCTATACAGCATGTTCACAAATAAAATTAAAAAAAAAGTGAGAGAGCCTGGGAGCTGATCCCAGTGACAACTCCTGAGCATAGTCAGGTGTGACAGACCAAATAAGGGAAGGTATGGCCATGAACACACAAGCACATAAGTGCATACACATGCCCATGTGTAGGTATGAAGGTTGACTAGGTAAGCCAGGTTTTACAGAGGGTGTTCAGGGACACACAAGTTTAAGGAGACAGGTGGTGTCCAGTACATGTAGAGAATGAGAGGGTGGGTTAATCAAGGCCAGAGAACATGCTTTCAGAGCGGATTAAATGTTTCACCCCTGGCCCTATTAGAAACAGTCTGCATGTTGTTTAAAAGAAAGGAGTTTAATAGCCTATAGCCCTTCAGAAGGCTTCAGAGCTAGAGAACGAAGCTCACTCAGAAAAGTCAAGTTTGGGCTGGGAAGGTGGCTCAGTGGTAGAGTGCTTGCCTTGCATGCCTGAGGCCCAGGTTCGATCCCTCAGCTCCCTCTGCCTATACAAAGTTGCCACTACAGAAGACCACAGACAGCCTCTACATAAAGAAGAGAGTAGCATTCTTCCTGGTATAGCTCTGAACCAGCAAAGCTGCAATCACAAAGATGGGAGTCATTTGTTTGGTGGGTTCTCTGGTGTTGCCATGGGAGATACCATATTCATTGTCCTCCTGCAGTGTCTGAGCTTGAACAGCCTGGTAGAGGGAAATGCAATTGTCTGATATGAATGCTCAGGACACAGGCTTCACCCAGAGACAGTACCACAGTCGCCAACAGCAGAATGTCCCTTGGTGCCATGATGGAGGCTTTGGAAGCCTTTCCAGGGTTCTACAAGGTCAGCTGCTTGTGGGATGCTCTGCATGCCCGAAGGTTCCATGGGCACCAGCCTGTGGATTCACCAGTGCAAAGAAGGCACTTTCTCCATCACAAGCAGAACTGATGTGGAATCAGTGACACCAAGTGTTACATTGAAATTCCTGTGTGTTATAAAAATATGACTGTAGCTGTCAGATGAAGAAGGGTAAAAATCCAAGCAAGAATCTTTTAAAGGCAAGTGGCTCCATCCTATCACAGCAGTCCAATGCCAGCAATTGGCCTTTGGATGGCTGGCTGCCTCCCAGGTTCAAGTCACTGTTGCAGAAGTATCAGTTCAGCCTTTTAAAGACATTTAAGTCATGGGTCCTACCTTAGATCAATTCCAGTCATGGATCCCACCTATGGATCATTTCCTCCAGAGCACTTCATCTGTGAGACCTTTCAGTCAGCAGTAGAGTGGCTAGGGAAAGAGGCAGGTCAATCTGAGGGCAGCCATCTTGTTCAACTACCTGAGTTTCCTCATGGCCAGGACTTTGAGTATTCAAGGGTACCGTGTTTTCACTCCAAGTGCTCCACCTGTATATTCCCCAG